CCCCAAAACCCCAAAACCCCAAAACCCCGCAAAGTTATTGGATAATAAAAATGTAAAATAAATGCTGAGTCAATGCTTTTATAATTAAATAATGGAGTCAAGAAATATTGATTTTTAGGCAGAATTTATTACTGCTAATACTAACACCACTCTAAGAGCACTAGACTTTAACAAATATAATAGATTAGTTGCCTACTCAGCATCTAACCTAGTTCTTATAATGGATCCATATCATCAACCAGACACCAATAATGAGAAAAGAGTGCCTAAGGTATTATTTAGTCTCCGAGGGCATACAGATAGAGTTAATGGAGTCTAATGGATTGATAACAATTCGATTGTTTCGATTTCAGCAGATAAGTCCTTCATTATATGGGGAAGTGATTCAGAAGATCTAAGAGATCCTTAAAACTGGACAATAAAGAAGCAATACTCTGAGGCTCATAAAGAGGCCATTAATTACCTAAGAACTTACAGACATCCTAAAACTAATGAAATCTATATTGTGACACTTTGCACTCTAGGAACATTAAAACTTTGGTAAGGAAAAGATAGACATTCTATTGCATATAAGGATTAATTGATTTTTGGTAATAATCTTCAGGAGGCAGCTGGCATTGTAGAATTCGGAGAGAAGCATCTGCTAATAAGTATTGGAGGCTACGATTCTAAAATTCATATATATCTTGTTCCAACCATTGAAAACCAGGATGCTGAGCAAAGGTCAGTCTTTAAATATAAATTATCTCTTCCTGGCCACTTTAATGCTATTAGAGATTTTGATTTCACTCCTTAATATCTAGGTAATAATATAAGATACCTAGCAAGTTCAAGCTAAGATAACAATATTAGACTCTGGAAAATTCAACCACTAGATAATATTTCCAATGATCATGGAGGCCATTAAGAAGATGACCTTTAAAAATACGAGAGCAAAACAAGCTTTGTCTTGTAAGATTCAAATGAAGATGCTGTTTACAATATCACTTTAGAGAGTGTTCTATCTTCTCATTAGGATTCTGTTTCATCAGTAAAGTGGGGATAAATCTCAGAAATAAATTAAAATTCAACATTATAGTAATATTGCCTTCTCTCAAGTGCGTTCGATTTCACTGTAAGTATTTGGAAGAATGACGAGACAGGACTATGGCAAGTTGATTCAACTCTAGGTGCAATGGCTGGGAACAAGCATGCCTTTTACGGAGCATTATTCCTGAATGACAATCAATCAATTTTAGCCTACACTTATAATGGAGCTATGCATAGATGGGATAAAGAATAACAAATGGACTAAGATTCATTTAAATGGTAAGCCTAACTAACAGTTAAGGGTCATTTCGGAGAAGTCACTGATCTAGACTGGGATCAATATGAAGCTAATCTTGTCACTTGTTCCTAAGATCAAACTACTAGATTATTTTCAAGGTATGGATAAAACATAGGCTGGGCTGAGTTCACAAGACCTTAGATTCATGGTTATGACATGAACACTCTAGCAGTACTCAAAGTAAACAAGCAATCTGGGTTGAATTTGCCCTCTAGAATTCTATCAGGTGGTGATGAAAAGGTGCTAAGACTATTCGAGGCCCCTTATTCTTTCGTGAAGATCTTCAATGAACTAAACCCAGAATCAAGTGAGATTTAGCTCAGATACTCAGATATCAAAACCAACTAAGAAGTTGAAGAGTTAATTGGCGAGGAAGCAGCTAAAAAGTAACCTCTAGGATTAATGAACAAGCCCACACTTATTTTAGCTAATAAAGGATAAAGAATGGATGAAGAGGAAGGCGGAATGGGTGGTGATTTTGACCCTAATAAGTATTTGACTAATACAAAGGATGCCTAAGAAAACATCATTTCTGATAAAGATCTTCATGGTGAACCGCCACTTGAAGATATTCTTATGACGAGAACACTCTGGCCAGAACAGCAAAAACTTTATGGTCATGCTTTTGAGATCTTTGCAGTTGCAACTTCTTACAAAGGGGATTGTGCTGCCAGTTCATGCAAAGCAAAGGAAAAGAAATATGCTGATATTATCATTTGGGATTTAACAAAAAGCCAAACTACAGTTCCATCATGTAGACTAGCTGCACATAATCTTACAGTAGTTTAATTGGAATTCTCTAAGTGCGATAACTATCTCTTATCTTCTTCTAGAGATAGATCTTGGGCTTTGTTTTAAAGACAATCACCAGATAGCTTATAATTCACTCTATTTAGAAGAATGAAAGATGCCCATACCCGTATTATCTGGGGTGTCTCTTGGTCACATGATGACGAGTACTTTGCCACAGCCAGTAGAGAGAAGCAAAAGAGCATCAAAGTATTCAAGGGAGTCTAAGGCATTACAGAGGGATTCAAGGCTGGTGACTTAATAAGCGAGCTACCAGAAGATTAAAACTAAAATGCTACCGCGATAAGATTCTTTCCATCCAGAATAAATGGAAGTACTTCTTACGGTCTTATTGTTGGACTAGAATCTGGAGATATCATAATCTGGAAAGAAAATGAGAATTTCAAATCTTGGACAGAGTTATACAAAGTAAGAGATTACTTAGCTCATTCTCTTTCAATCAAGCGCATTAAGTTCAATCTCAAGTAATCTAACCCAAAAGAAGATGAATATAAAGTAGCTACAGCTGGAACAGACCACACAGTCAGAATATTAAAGATTAAGTTGCATTGATTGGTAGATAAAAAGTACAATGACTAAGCCTTCAGCATAGCATAAATTAATTAAGTGTTAATTTCAAACTATTTCATATTAAATTCTGAAAAGAATTGATTAAAATAGCTTAAACCCAACTCTTATTCATATTTCAATTTTATCTTATGGGGTTTTGGGGTTTTGGGGTTTTGGGG